TCAGGCAAATCTTAGTCTTTCTGAACCTCAGTTTCCTTGTTGATATGATAAAATGGACAGAATAGACTAGATGATGTAACAGTATTCATTCTGTAAATATTGATTGGGTGACTTCTATGTGCCAGTCTCAATTCTGGAAGACCTAGCAGTGAAAGAAGGAAAGATGCTAGCTCTCATGGGGTTTTCATTTTAGTGGGAGGGCTTGCGTTCTACTGCAAGAGTTTCTATTTTAAAATTTTAAAGACTTACATTTGAAATTCGGAGACTCACAGGCATGATAATTATGGTGAGTGGATGTGCTATAATCATGTTTTCTTGATGGCGGCAATTTGTTCAAGAAATCATTCGATCAACAAGGAAGGCAGTGTTTAATTTTGTGCTCCGATTTTTTGAAACCTTTGAAAAAACTTATTTACATATAGCTATATTCATTCTTACTGTTGGATATTTAGAATCCAATTAGCCATTTCCATTGTTTTTTGTCTTGACATTTCCACTTGGATGGACAACACTGATGAGCTCTGAGGTTCGTAAAATTTAAAAGTGTTGTGAAACAGCAGTACTTGTAGAGCATCACTTTGTGAGGCTTAATTGTGTGGTTTATCTGTGCTCTTTGGGTCTCTGTTAGCACCTTGTCTTTGGTTTCTGTCTGTCAGCTCAGATGAGATTATGAAATAATTACTAGCTAGCATCCGGTTGTGGTTTTCTTTGTAATGGGAACTTGTGTAACATTTTTTATTTTGGAGACTGTAGAGCTAAGTACAGAAAATCACAGAATGGATTCAGGTTCTGTCATCTTTTGAGATTCAAATTGATAAGAATCTTCTTTGAGGACTAAGCCAGGGTCTCTGATTTGATCATTTATGCAAAAATGGAATTGTGATTGCATAATGAAATTAGGTGAGGACGGGTGTGCACAGCTGTTTGGTCCTCCATCCAGTGGCCTTGGGAAAGTCACATAATTTTATTTTTCCATTTATTACCTGAAAAATGGGTACAGTACCTACTTTGTGGGATGTTTTGAGGAGCAGAAGTTATGTGTGTGCTATCTGACACAGTAAGCAGTGAGTGATAGCTCTTATGGTTAAAATACAGATATTAGTACTTTTAATCTAATGGTGGAAACTTTAGTTCTATACTTCCTTGCTTCTGTTTTGACCAAAAATAATTTTAGTTGCTTGGTCTCCAGATTATATCTTAGAGCCAAAGTAATAAGAGAACTACCAACTGACTTGATTACCTTGGACAAGTGTGACATTTTTGTTATAATTTTTATAGGACATCAATTTAACTTTCAAAATGTAATTAGAAAGTATATATTAAAAATTAACTTTGGTCATTTCATGATTAATATAAAAATTATTTAAGTGGTCCATGGAAAATGGTACCTTAATGAAGGGAAATAGATTTTCTGTGCAGTGTGGAGACAGTTCAAGTACTTATTTAGGATTTTACTGAAAAACATGATTTTCAACAAGAAGTAAGATTGGACAAGTGAAATCATAGTTTACGTATTTCCTCTTTTGCAGCATTGTTCTCAAGGACGTTATTATTCCTTAATTTCTGTTTTGCTACAACTTTCTTCTCATGCTTTTTCCTCTGCTTGGCCCTTAAATGTTGGTTGTGAATAGGATTGTTTTTAGGACCTTCTAAGTTCAAAATATACTTTTTCTCTAAGTGCTGCTAATATCACTTGTATTTTACCCTTGTGAAATCAGCTTTCATATTTGTATCTAGTGTGTATCTGCCTCTTTTCAAGACCTGTGCCAAGAGAACCAACGCTCTTCCTCATGTTCCCTATTACATGAATGGTTCCAACATTATCTCTGTCTTCTAGGACCTGGGACTTTTTCTTAACTCTTTCTTCTCTTTGACTTGCTGTATTTAGTGTAGATACTATTTATATTCAGGCTACCTCTTCACCATTAGTCATGTCTTACTCTTTGTCACACTGCTTAGCTTCTGCCACAGTACATAACATCATCTCATGCCTAGATTATTGCTTCTTTGATGTCTTTCTATTTCAGTCTTTCCTCTCATCCTGTACTTTTGGAGAGAGCCAGATTGGACTCTGAAGTGTATGCTACTCTTCTACTTATAGTGCCAGTATGACTTCTCAATGCATTTTAATCAATCCCCAAACCTTTCTTGTCACGATTCACAAAACCTTTTATATTCTGACTTCTGCCTATATATACTGCATCATTACCATCATTACCAATTCACCTTTCTCCTTCCTTCCTAGCCCCACTTAAAAGTCCCTGATTCACTTGTATAGTCTATTATTGTTCAGTACTTATGGTTTCCTACAGGAGGGATATTCTTATATTTCCACACTTATACTTCCCTGGCACATGTTTCCACCCTGACTTCCTTCCCTGAATAATGAGCACTTATTTTAAAGTAACTCAGATGTCAATTTAATGATCCTCTTTTTCTGATCTGCAGTAAGTGTCCTGTCCTTTCAAGCAACATGCTCTTGACCTATATGTACCCCCACACCCTCAGCTTCTGGAAGGCAGACTTTATTCATGAATCTATTACTTGGCACATTGTAGTGACCCATTAAATACAGACCAGCAGACTGAATGAGTGCTTTAATGCCTGCATAGTAGAAGTAAATAATATTAAAAAAATTTTTGTTATTGAGATATCACCCATTTAAGGTTTATAAATCTTGCATTCCACTGGAGGAGTTTTGTGTATATTCAGATTGTAAAGCCACAACCACTATCTAACTCCAGAACGTTTTCATCATCCCCCCAAAGAATGCATTAGCAATAGCTCTCCATTTCTCTTCTTCAGCCCTCCTTAGCCACTACTTATCTACCCTTTGTCTCTATGGATTTGCTTATTCTGGAACTTTGATATAGATGAAGTCATACAATACATGGCCTTTTGTTTCTGACTTCTTTCACTTAATGTGATGTTTTCAAGAAAGGTTTGCATTTACCTATAGTACTTTATTCCTTTTCATGGCAATATTCAATTGCATGGACACATCACGTTTTTGTTCATCAATTGCTGGAGAATTGAGTTTGTATTTTTTGACTTGTGAATAATACTATTGTGAGCACTTATTTACGAGTTTTTAAGTGACCATATGTTTTTATTTCTCTTGGGCATATTCCTTAGAGTGGGACATATGATAACATAATGTTAAACTTTTTGAGGATATATCATTTTACATTCTCACCAGCAATGTTGAAAGTTCCAAATTTTTCACACCCTCACTAGTATTTTTTAATACATGTTTCCACCCTCATAGTCATACGGTGCATATGAAGTGGCATCTCACAGTAGTTTTGATTTGCATTTCACTAATGACAAATGTGGGGCTTTGTTTTATCTGTCATTTCTGTATCTTTGGAGACATATCTACTCAAATGCTTTGCCCATTAAATTTTTCCCCCTTTAATTATTATTTGTGAAAGTTCCTTATATATTCTGGATTCTAGACTTTTGCCAGATACACAGCATGCTAGAAATGGTATTAAGAAGCAAGTATAGTACTGACATATGTTATGATATGGATGAACCTTGAAAACTTACGCTAGTGAAAATGCCACATTTATGATTCCGTTTATTTGAAATGTTTAGAATAGGTGAAATTCATACAGAATAAAAATAGATTAGTGATTGCCAGGGGCTTGGAGGCAAAGAAGAATGGAGAATATTAGTGGATACGGGTTTCATTGTGAATGATGTTATAGAATTTTGTAGTGGTGATGGTTTTACAAGCTTGTGAATATTCCCCAAACCACTACCCGCAGAATTTAAAAGTATGTTTGTGAATTTTATCAACAAAACTTTTAAGCAGAAGTGTTGAATTGTATAGGTTTGTACCACTTTTTAATATAGCTGGGAAATTTCCCATTGGCCAGGGTGCCAGGCCTTTGAGTACTTTTATCACTGGAAAGAGGAGAGAGTGCTTGATCTGCTCTCTCTGTCCTTACCTCCTACTCTCTTCTATGTTATGGTGCTTTTTTTCACTTTTAAAGTCCCTCTTTACTGTTTACTTGATCCCCAACTTTTAAGAATTGTAATCCCTTTTAAATCCCTTAAGTCTAAAATATTTTACTACAGGTGTGTGAAGTACTGGTTAAGGAGAAATGATTTTCCTGTTAGCTCATGTTGTACACTAAAAAGGCTCTAATAAAAATGAAAAAAAAAAAAAAGTCCCTCTTTGCTTGTGCAAATATCAACCAATTACTTAAGTTAAACTTAAATTTTGTTTTTCTTAGTTTGTTTAGTATCAGTTATTACATGCAATTTTTTTTTCAAAAATATAATGTCTTCCTTTGGTTCAGAGGAAGAGTCCTTAGATTCTTATAATAATCACACATACAGAAAACTTTAAATTTGGATAGATGAACATTTGGAGTTTTGATTATAGTTTGAATATCTTTGGTAGAAGACTACCTTTTATATTGGAATAGTGATGGTGAATTATAGGATTTAATATTAGAAGATAAAAAAGAATACCTTTGGTCCAGATATAATTTTCTTACTATAAAGCACCCCAAATTTAATATTCATTTCTGTAATAACTTTTTTGTAGATTTGGGTTTAAATGTATGAAATTACACTGAAATGTATCTCTATTCCATATTCCAAATGTATCTCTATTCCATATTCCATATTTTATATAGAAAAGTGAATTTCTATAAAAATTATATTTTTGGATGAATTGTTTTTAGCTAGTTGAAACTGAGTAACAGTAAACACTTCTCTAGAGTTTGATAATGTAAAGTTCTGTCACTATAGAGTCAATCAGTTCTATTATGATGTGGTTCTTTATTCTGATAGAAAATTCTAGGCATTTAGGTATAGCACTCTCCATTTTCTGTTGTGGTTAGCAACCTATTGCCATGTATTTTCTCCCTGTCATCTGTCAGCTGTTCGTTCCCCTTCCCACCCTTTCTTTTCCTGTTCTTTGTCTTCAAATCAGAACTGGGAGAGTTTATAAAATAGCATTTTGTGATTTGTTTTATTGACAGCATAAGCTGTGACCATGACTACTGAAGTAGGCTCCACGTCTGAAGTGAAGAAAGAATCTGATCAGTTAGCAGCAGATGCAACCAAGGAGAAATCTAAAGAAGTAGCAGAAAATCAGCAGAATCAGTCATCAGAATCATCTCCTAAAGCTGAAAACCAAAGTAGTCCACGTCGTCAGAAGAGAGAGAAGGAGCCATCAGAGAGCAGGGGTATTTCTCGATTCATACCCCCATGGCTTAAGAAACAAAAGTCATATAACTTAGTAGTGGCCAAAGACGGAGGAGATAAAAAAGAACCAACTGAAGTTGTTGTGGAAGAGCGGATTTTAGATAAAGAGCAATCTCTTCCTGAAGAAGAAAGACAGGCCAAGGGCGATGCTGAAGAAACAATTCAGAGAAAACAGCAGGAGGTTAAGGTTGACGTTAAAGAAGAAAAACCTTCAGTGAGTAGTGGTGAGACACAGGTATGTTTGAGAAGTGATGGGAAATGAAAGCTTGATGGTGTAACCACATAACAAAAAGAATTTGGCCTGAACCCTTTCCATTTTTCTTACTTTAAGATATTGCTTTAGCTTAAGGTAATATGGAAGATGGGTGTTGGATTGGCCTTCCAAAGCTTTCTCCTATTACTTACAAAAAGTCCAAAATAATAAAATAGCAGACTAGATGTACAAACCATATAAAAAATTGGTGTTTTTAAAAATGAGATGCTTTGAAAATTCTGCCACCTCTTCTTTTACATAGTAAGCATTTTTATGCTTTTTTGATTTATTTAGTTAAGTAGTGAGTTAGAAGAAGTAGACGTGTATGTGTGCATTTTACTTGCCTAGGTTTTGCCACGGTCTGAGATTACAATTGGAAATTTCATCAATGGAAATGATATATAAATTGTAGTTGCCATGATGTAGTTTCCTTAACTCATTTAATGCTGAAATGACCTTATTGATAAATTAAGAAAATTGGCAGAGGGTTGAGGGGAAGAAAGGTGTGGGAAAATATCCTTCCTAGCAAAATTTTGAAGTCATTAAAAATCTTAGACTTAGAGCCCATAACAATCACAGTTTTTACCAAAGTTTTTCCTTTTTAATGTGTTGTCTTCTGTCAGTCGGTCAACTTTAGTGTTAACTCTTTTCCTCAACAGCCTGCTGAAGAAATAAGAAAGGAGAAAGAAGAGAAGGTAAAGGAAATACAGGACGACCAGCCAGAAGGAGAAGCAGCAAAAAGGGAGACAAAGGAAGTGCAGACCAATGAGCTGAAAGCAGAGAAGGCTTCTCAAAAAGCTGCCAAGAAGACCAAAACCATGCAGTGTAAGGTGGCCCTCCTCGACGGCACCGAGTACACCTGCGACCTGGAGGTGAGCCCAGGGTCTGCCTGGGAGCCCTCTTGATGTGTGGATGGAAAGCAAATGCATGGTCTGCCTCCATTTGTGGCCTGGCACAGTTAGTGTATTTTTATGTCTTACCGAGGTGTCATTAACTGGCTTGTCTCAAATTTTATTAGAAATGCCAGATAACAGAAAAGGGTCATCATTACAAACATTATTTCCTGACCATTGAGGGTAAGTAGGGCCTGGGTTCTGCCAGTCTGGAGTGGTCATATGGATCAGCTAGTGTGTTTCTGAAAAGGCATTAAATATTTTGAATATTACCTCTGACTTTAAGTCTTTCACTTGAGAAGAAATGCTAGGGCTAGTTGGCATTTCAGCGTAATGAAATTTTAGAAGATGAACCCCAAGTGCATTTATCCTGACACAGACAATGATTTAAATCTAGCTCATTTATTTAGTTGCCTGTAATTAGAAAACATTCATGATTTGCACAGCATATAATGCAGTAGCACTAAAGCTTACTGAAGCCAATATAAGTTTTTAAAGTGTCTAGCACCTTTTATTTTTGTCAGTCAAAAGAATGTATGCTTTTCATAGCTTTATTATTAGCATGACATATACTAGTAAATATTTATGTGAAGAGTTTTGCATGAATTATCTTAATCTGTGTATTATATTGAAAGGTATGAGGTATATATTATAGCTATTCCCAGTGTTACAGGAAGAGTGTATGGCATAGGAGAGGTTAAGTGACTTGCCCCAAATTTTACAGCTAGTTTATAGTTGAGCCAGATTCCAGGCCCAACAGTTTGATCTGGAGGTTATAAACCTGGCCACTCAACTAAGATGAATGATTCATGTTCCTTGTCTTTATCTTTGTGTTATCCACAACGTCATTTTCCTCATTCTATTTATAATTGCTTAGCTGTTTTAGTTGTTTCAAGAAAAGGAGTGGTATAGAGAATTAAAAATCTTCAAAGCTTTCAGGGACTGACTTTGCCTCAAGGGTAGGGAACAAGGAAAGTAAGAATCATGTTCTGAACTTAACTCAATTGCTCTGTATTTGATCTCCTGTCCCTCATTTTCCCCACCTATCCTAAAAGTTAGTTCTAGATTTTGAAAAACAAGTTGGAGAACTTAAGTGACTGCAAGTCATTCTCTCAACCTCTCTGGGCCAAACTGGGGCCAGAAACTGACTTCATCTATAGAATAAAGGATTGCTTAGATGCTCTAGAAGGCCTTTTTCATCTCTGAAGTTAGTAATTACCAGGCTGATTATTTTTTTTGTTTTTTAGAAATCATGATGTATTTTGAAACCACAAAAATGTAGAAATAATAACTATATATCATTATATATTTATCATACAATTTTAACCAGATGTGGAACTGAGACTTTTGTTTATATTTGATTAAATAAAATATTAAAACAAAAAATAATTGAAAACATGGAGACAGTGCTACAACTTACAACTCATCAGCAGTATAGAAACCTAAATAAAATTTCTAAAACAATGCTCCTCCTAAGGATGATATTATTATTTTTTAAAAGATTTATTTATTTATGCATATAAGAACTAGGATATAGGCCAGAGGTGTGGGCGGTGAGAGGATTCACCAGAGACAGAGTGGGGAACAGAACAGGCAGACTGACTGAAATACACTGCTAAGGGTAGCCGTGGGGGAGTCAGGAGAGGTCTGCTACACCATGTGGGTCACCTCCCTGGCCCGAGATTGAACTCGTGCTGTAGTGGCAGCAGATAGCTTCATAGGCTGTGTCTCAACCCCTTGCACCACCAGGGAGGCCAAGGAGGATATTCTTTTCCTGATTTCTGAGACTGAAACTAGGAAAGTTTCAGGAATAGGGGGTAAAAGGCAAATAGTTGTTGAATTTTTATCAAATGTATTTTCTGCATTAACTGGAGGGGGGTGTCATATATTTTTGTAATGTTAATACTGTAATTTACATTAGTGGTTTTCTAATATTAGTCTTTGAATTCCTGATGTAAACTCTACTTGTTCATGATGATTTCGCATTCACTTTGAGTTATTTTTAAGATTTTGCTACTTTAATTTTCCTGTATGAAATTTTCTTCATCAGATTTTATTATGGGTTATAGATACTAGCATCAGAAATTTACTTCTTTATAATATTCTCTAGAAGAGCTTGGGCAAGTTAGGAATGTTAATTTGAGTTCTGGTAGAATATGCTTTTAAATAGTTTTCACAAGTGGTCTTTTTGTGAGTAGAGTAGGTTGGAGGATAGGTTTTAAAAAATCATTGATTTCCTTTTTTTAACTTTTTATCCCCCCTCGAGTCAGTTTTAATAATTCATATTTTTTAGGGGCCTCCCTGGTGGCATAGGAGTTAGTCTCAGTGCTATCAAGTTATCGCCAGCTACTTCGGCATGAGTTCATCAATCCCTGACTAGGGAGCTACCCACATGGCACAGCAGACCTCTCCTGTCTGGCCCACTGCTCCCCTCAAAAGTGTATTTCAGTCAGTTGCCTGTCTCTTTCCCGCTCTGTCTCTGGTGAATCCTCTCACCGTCCCTGCATCTCTGACTATGTCCCAGCTCTTGTATGCATAAATAAATAAAAATAAATCTTTAAAAAAATCATTTTTAATGGGAACTTTCCATTTAATTTAATTTGGCAGATCTGTTGTACATAAATTTTTTGATACTATTCTCATTGTGTGTATTTGATTTTGAGTCTTATTTTATTTCTGTTATTGCCTGTTCTTCTTTATCATTCTTGCTGTAGAGTTACCATTTAAATTTTTCCAAAGAAGCAACTTCATTTTATTTATTATTTCTGTAGGTTTTTTTGTTTTTTTTTTTTTTGGTAACATTTTGTTTCCTTTTGCTTTTTATTTTTATTTTGGGATGATTGTTCTTTTTTAATATCTTGAGTGAATACTAAAAAAAATTGATGCTTTTATGACTGATTTTGAGGACAGTGTATCAAGTACCTATCACTGATCACACAAGTTTTGAAGATGGTGCCATCATTGCCATTCAGCTTTTTATATTTCTTCATCTCACTATGGGTATTTTTGACCACTGAAATTTTCATAAGTGAGATTACATTTCCATAGTGTGTATGTGATTTATTGAAAGAGGGGATTTTTTTTTTTTTTTGTTCACATCTACTGTTTTATTCCATTGTGATCAGAATGTCATCTAAGTAAAAGATTTTATTAGATTTGTTAAGACTTTGCAGGCTTATATATAGCCAGTTTTTGTAATAGTTCTCTTTGAGTCTGGAAATACATGCTATTCCATTATTGGTGCAGGTTTCCTGATCTTTCCTCTTGACCAGATTGATCATGTGCCTCAAGTCTCTATCTCTGTTGTTGAACTGCTTAGTTTATCAACAAATGAGAGGTGTGTTAACATCTCTGTGATGGCTGGTCTTTGTATTTCTGTAAATTATCATATAGTAGCATGAAATTTACTTTATAGGATATTGCTTTAGTACTACTAATTTTGTCTAGACTATTTCCCTTCATTTCTTTGCTTTTAAATATTGTATTCTATGTCTTTGAGTTGTTTTTTAAAATCCTGTTTGAAGATTCTATCCTAACTGATGAATGCATGGCATTTATTGCACATGATTACTGATACATATGGTTATTTTCTGCCATCTAATTTTGTTTATTATTTTTCTTTATTTTTTTTCTCCATTATGGTTATTCTTTATTTTTTTATTTTTTTTAAAGATTTATTTATACAAGAACCGGGATACAGACCAGATGAGCGGGAGGGTGAGAGGATTCACCAGAGACAGAGTGGGGAACAGAACAGGCAGAATGACCGAAAATACACTGCTGAGGGGGGAGACAGGAAAGGTCTGCCACACCATGTGGGTTGCTCCACGGCCAGCGGGAATCAAACAGGCACTGCAGAGGCTGCGGACAGCTTCACAGCTCTGTGCTCAACCGCCTGCGCCACCAGGGAGACCCCTTTCTGGTTATTCTTTTGGGATATTAAGTGCACTGTAGTCATTTAACTAAGAAAGTAATATTAATCACTATGCTCACTTCCTTCTTCCCCATGTTGTTTAGTGCTTGATTGTTAGGTGTGTGATCTCATTTGGGGGGGCGGTACAAAATAAAGGAATTTCTTATCTCTGACTCGTTAACGCTACTCCTTATTGGGAGTGAAGCTATTGTGTTGCGTGAATTAGAGCTGAGAAATTATCCAAAGTTAAAAACAGTAGCTTAGTCCTTTAATTCATACCAAGACTTAAATTGATTGAAAAGGCAGAGAATTCTTTATTTTTGTGACTGTGTTAACTTACAGATTGTCTTTCAGTTAATAAATGATTTCTTAATATAACGTGAAAAGAATGAATTTTTGAGGATGATCTATAAATTAGAAACAAGCTTGAAGCACATAAGTGTTGAATAGACCCTTTCTTCCTTTCAAGTCAAAAGCTGCACCTCCCATGCTGTCTCTTGACATGGTCCGGGCATTGGGGGAGACTCCCGAGAAGCGGGGAGTTTCTGTGCTCCCCCAAAGAGGGAAAGTTGTACTTCCCATAAGAGGGGAGTTCTTGCACTTCCCAAAGAAGATCTGAACTAGGGAGTCTCCATCAAGTCAAAAGCAAAATGAAATTTAAATAGAACTTAATGATGTGGTCCCACAGCAGATTTTATTGTACCTCCAATTCTTTTTTTTTTTTTTTTAAGATTTATTTATTTATGCATGCAACAACTGGGGTACAGGCCAGAGGTGAGGGGAATGTGAGAGGATTCACCAGAGACAGAGTGGGGACCAGAACAGGCAGCCTGACTGAAATATACTGCTGAGGGGAGCAGCAGGCAAATGAGGAGAGATCTGCTGCGCCATGTGGGTAGCTCCCTGGCCGGGGATCGAACTAATGCTGCAGTGGCTGTGGATAGTTCCATAGGTTGCATCTTAACCCCTGCGCCACCAGGGAGGCCCTGTGCCTCCAATTCTTCGCCTGAATTCTACTTAGTAACTTCATAGAGTGTAATTTAATAGTATCATAATGGTTGTTATG